AAAAAAAAAAAAAAAAAAACAACCAAGACCTTAATGGAAACAATATCAATCATAACTAGAAGAGACGATCGTAGAAAGGAGTATCAATCATCAGTATTTTTCACTCACAGATGAGATTTGCACGCCAGCGCGATCGAAGAAGCTTGATCGGATAATCGATTTCGAAGAACATACGCAGAAAGAAAGAAATTTAAAATGAAACAATTACATCGATTAGAATGCTTAAAGAGCACCGCGAAATGAAGAACAGCAGATGGAAGAAGAATGGAGGGCGGAGGGTGTCTCATTTCCACCGTGCCGGGTTTTGACCAGAGCGGTGGTTGTTGAGCGCTTCAGACGAGTTTGGAAGATTTGGACATGCGGCCCATTTTGTGAATGGGCTTTGTTTTTTCTACGATAAAAGCCCAATTAAGAAACCCAATTTTTTTAGCGGGAAATTTTAAACTAAAAAAATAATAACGAATGAATTTGACGGCCCAATTTATAATTTCTATTTTCTTCGAAATTAAAATAATAATAATAATAATAATAATTTCTTCTTCTTGCATGAATTTGAGTATTGTAAATTCGTGGACAATAATTTTTTTTTTAAATAAACACGTCAAATCTTTGTATATTCAATTAATTTTATTTATTTATTTATTTTTATATTTTCAAATATTCAAATTTATATATATATTATAGACCAACTGGAAATTGCAAATTGGTTAAGTTGGTTACTTGAATGACTTGAATAACATTCACAACTGAACCGTCTGTTTTCGTATTCCGTTAGAATGGGTAGTCGGTGTGTTTATTTTTTAATTATTTTAAAAAAATTATACTTATCTATAATACATGTTACACTAATAATTAAGATAATATATATATATATATATATATATATATATATATATATTTTAATCTTCGTAACAATCTTACAATTAGGGTTAGGTTGTGAACTATATTTTCGAGTTGGGTGAGTTTACTTGACAAAAAAATGTAGCGTACTTGAACCGAACATCTAATTTAGCTTTGCTTAGGTAGTTTGGAGTGTTCGGCTAATCATCATCGGGTCATATGAACACCCCTAATATAGTGGGTCGTGAAAATTAAAATATTTACTCACTAAACGAGATTAGTTAGAGTATCGAATCGATTCTTATTAAATTTATGACTAATATGGGAGATTAATGGAAGATTTTGAGAAAATTGTTAGTCAATTAGCCATGAGATTCGAGGCGCTTGTAAGCTTAACTTCTCGGTCGAGGATACATACATGAGCATATAGAGTAACAAACTATTGGTCGAGAACGCATACCCACCGGAGTAGTAACTTATTGATCGAGAATATGTACACAAGCATGTAGTATACACTGGATCAGTAACTTGTAACAACTCAAACCTACCGCTAACAAATATTTGTCCTATTTGGGCCTTCCCTTCAAGGGTTTCATCTCAAGGTTTTAAAACGTGTCTTCTATGGAGAGATTTTCACACCCTTATAAAGACCATTTCGTTCCCTCTCTCGATCCAGTCTAGGATTTCACATCATTTCTCGACCGAAAACATGTACACGAGCACGTAATATACAGGTGGACCAGTAACTCGTAACAACCCAAACCCACCGCCCGCAGATATTATTCTTTTTGGACCTTTCGTTCGAGAGTTTCATCTAAAGGTTTTAAAACGTGTCTACTAGGGAGAGATTTCCACTCTTATAAAACATATTTCGTTCCCTCTATCGATCAAATCTAGAATTTCACATCATTTCTCGACCAAAAACATGTACACGAGCATGTAGTATACACGTGGACCAGTAACTCGTAACAACCCAAACCCATCGCTAGCAGACATTGTCATTTTTGGGCCTTCCCTTCATGGATTTCATCTCAAAGTTTTAAATCGTGTCTGCTATGGAGAGATTTTCACACCCTTATAAAAACCATTTCGTTCCTTCACTCGATCTAATCTAGGATTTCACATCATTTCTCGACCGAAAACATGTACACGAGCACGTAGTATACACGTGGACTAGTAACTCATAACAATTCAAACCCACAGCTAGCAGATATTGTCCTTTTTGGGCCTTCCCTTCAAGGGTTTCATCTCAAGGTTTTAAAACGTGTATGCCCTTATAAGGAATATTCCATTCCCTCTCTCGATCCAGTCTAGGATTTCACATCATTTCTCCACCAAAAACATGTACACGAGCACGTAGTATACACGTGGACTAGTAACTCATAACAATTCAAACCCACAGCTAGCAGATATTGTCCTTTTTGGGCCTTCCCTTCAAGGGTTTCATCTCAAGGTTTTAAAACGTGTATGCCCTTATAAGGAATATTCCATTCCCTCTCTCGATCCAGTCTAGGATTTCACATCATTTCTCCACCAAAAACATGTACACGAGCACGTAGTATACACGTGGACTAGTAACTCATTTCACATCATTTCTCCACCAAAAACATGTACACGAGCACGTAGTATACACGTGGACTAGTAACTCATAACAATTCAAACCCACAGCTAGCAGATATTGTCCTTTTTGGGCCTTCCCTTCAAGGGTTTCATCTCAAGGTTTTAAAACGTGTATGCCCTTATAAGGAATATTCCATTCCCTCTCTCGATCCAGTCTAGGATTTCACATCATTTCTCCACCAAAAACATGTACACGAGCACGTAGTATACACGTGGACTAGTAACTCGTAACAACCCAAATCCACCACTAGCCGATATTGTCCTTTTTGGGCCTTCCCAAGGTTTCATCTCAAGGTTTTAAACTGCGTCTGCCCTTATAAAGAATATTCGTTCCCTCTCTCGATCCAATCTAGGATTTCACATCATTTCTCGACCGAAAACATGTACACGAGCACATAGTATACACGTGGACCAGTAACATCTCGATCGAGTATATATACACGAGCACATGGAGTGAATTGGGAAGACATAAGAAAAATGAAAAAAAAGGGAAAAAAAAGAAAAAGAAATGGTCTTTGACATTTTCGCTTGGGCGAAAGAGTAGAGAGAGGCACAGAAGCGAAGCAAACAAAAATCAAAGCTCTCTCTCTCTCTCTCTGTGAGGAAGCGCAAAGCAAAGCGAAGGCAAGAGAGGAAGTTAGAGAGAGAATCTTCCTCTCCCCCATGCTTTCAATTTCGTAGCATAACAACAATCAACGACCCCACAAATTTCTCTTTCCCCTCTCTGATTTTCTTCAACAATGCCAGCTTCTCCTTCATTCCCATCTGGTAAATTCATCTGCCCTAGATTTCTCTTCTCTTCTTCTTCTTCTTCTTCTCTCTGTGAACTTTCATCATTTCTCATCTTCAATTCTGTTTATGGTGTTTAATTTTTGGGTTTGACAAAACCCTTACCAGGGTCTCGTGGAAAATGGAGGAAGAAGAAGAGGGATTCGCAAATTGGCCGCAGAAACAACTTCCCTAATAGTAATAACAACGGCAGCAACAAGCATGAGGAGGAAGATGAAGATGAAGACCTTGCCGCGGCTGAAAATGAAGAAATGGAACGCGATAACAACGATGATTCTGAGGATCCTCAGATTAACCTTCAATCCGCGCCCAATTCGAGCCTACAGGAGCCTGAACTCCTGTCGGATGATAAAGTGCGAGTCTCCGAGTTTCCTCAGGTCGTTAAGCGGGTTGTCACTCGGCCTCACTCTTCTGTGTTGGCCGTTGTGGCAATGGAGAGGGCAAATCAGTTCGGAGAAAGTAAGGGGCTGCCTGGAAATTCATTGATTTTGGAGAATGTGTCTTATGGGCAGCTCCAAGCCCTGTCTGCTATGCCTGCGGATAGTCCGGCGTTGCTGGATCAGGAGAGGGTGGAGGCTGGCAACGCCGCCTATGTAATAACGCCTCCACCGATTATGGAGGGGCGTGGCGTGGTTAAGAGGTTTGGGAGTAGGGTACATGTTGTCCCTATGCACTCAGGTTCGATCCTCTCGTCCTCCTCAAGTTAATTAATTCTTGCATATATATTTTGAGGGTAAACAATTTGCATTGCCATCTGTACCTTACATTTGTTGTGGGATAAGTTCATGGGTTTTGTCTAGCATTATTGTGAACAACTATTTAGGGAATTGCAATGTTTTTCTTTCCCAATGAAACATCAGCTCCAAAATGTAAGATATATGGTTGAATAGCTTGAATTCATTAATAATTTTTGTAGTTGTTAGTGTGATCGAATTTAATTCAGGATTTGAGTGGGTAGAAAACTTATATGAACTTTATTTGTTTTAGTATAAGTACGTAGCAAGTTCGATGCGTTTTGCACTCAATTTGTGCCTCAGGATAACATATACTTAATTGAGTATAGGGAGAAGAGGAAAATTATCTAACATGTGACAGTCGATTTTTTGGAAACAGATTGGTTTTCACCTGCCACAGTGCATCGACTTGAGAGACAAGTTGTTCCACATTTTTTCTCTGGAAAATTTCCTGACCGCACTCCCGAAAGGTATATGGAAATTCGAAATTTTGTTGTTGCGAAATACATGGAGAATCCTGAGAAAAGGGTCACAGTTTCAGACTTCCAAGGATTGATTGATGGTGTCAGTAATGAAGATTTAACTCGGATTGTTCGATTTCTTGATCATTGGGGTATTATTAATTATTGTGCTCCTGCACCTAGCTGTGAACCATGGAATAGTAGTTCATACTTGAGAGAAGATATGAACGGTGAGATTCATGTGCCATCAGCTGCTTTGAAGCCTATCGATAGCTTGATCAAATTTGACAAACCAAAATGTAGGCTCAAGGCAAATGAGGTCTATTCAATACTTCCTTGCCATGATGATAATGATGATTTGTGTGATTTGGATAACAAAATTCGTGAGCGTCTAGCTGAAAATTATTGTAGCTCTTGTTCTCAGCCTGTTCCCATTGCATACTACCAATCACAGAAGGAGGTTAGTTTCTATCACCATATTGTACTCCATTGTTTGTCTGACTCAGAGTTCCTCGGGGTCAGCATATGACGCTTGTATATATGCCTGAAAGAAGGATGATTGTCAGGGCAACGGTAAACACGGTTAGAGACAATAAATACAATGAAAATTGGAAAACAATGCCGTGATAGTGATATTTCATGTGACATGGCCATGGTACTCGAAACCTTTTCCTATTGAGAGTAGAAAAAAGACGACAGTGTTTAAAATTATTGAATCCTTATGGTTGTCCTATATGGTAAATTCTAGAGACCTTGGGGTCTAGGCTGTTCAATTTTGCACGGGGAGAAATGAGAGGAAGTAGTAGAGATCTGTATGACTAGGCAGTTTCTCCTCAAGCATATCCGTACCTGTACTTTTGTCGTCGTAGGTGACTTAGAGGATTTCTGTTTTGGGAATCTTGGAAAAGGTGTCTTTGCTTGCCACGAGGGGAAACATCAAAGTCTTGATCTTGAGGCAATAGGACTTCTTTTAACTCTTGATAGTGAGCCTATACCATGCAAGAGAATTGCTTCTGATGCATAACTTTTAGAAATCCCTTGAATTCTTATGGATCTTTTTTCGTTAACGACTTATTGGCATCCTTGCTACAGGTTGATGTTTTACTTTGCTCCAACTGCTTCTATGAAGGCAAATATGTTGCTGGTCATGCAAGTATTGATTTTCTGAGGGTAGACATGACGAAAGATTATGATGAACTAGATAGTGAAAATTGGACTGATCAAGAAACTCTATTGCTTTTAGAGGCAATAGAATTGTATAATGATAACTGGAACGAAATTACAGAACATGTTGGGTCCAAGTCTAAAGCTCAATGCATTATACATTTTCTTCGTCTATCAGTGGAGGATGGCCTTCTAGAAAACATTGACGTGCCTGGTGTTTCTCTCTCGTCCAATTCTTCACATGGAGAAGATAATGAGAAGTCGCATTCAAATATGAACGGAAATGTAGCAGGTATTTTTTAACTTTTAACTGACTGTTGGTGACTTTTTGACATTTTCTCTCTAAATATTTGTTTATTTCTTTAGGTTCTTCCTCTCAAGATAATAAAGAGATGCGTGATAGGCTCCCGTTTGCTAATTCTCAGAACCCAGTCATGGCGTTGGTACGTGTCCGTTTATTTGATGCTTTATATGTCTTTCAGTTCATCAAGTAAAATTGAAGAATTGAATTGTTTCAGAGCAACATTCCATTGAACTTGAAAAGAAACCATGTTAAAAAAAAAAAAAAAAAAAAAA